CGTCCCATGTCACATGTAAACAAGGTTACTGTTCTTTGGTGAAGTATAATGATTTCATTTGACAATAGGCAAGTGCCTCAGTGGCTAAAAAAATATTCCCAACTATATCTGTGCATGACAGTAAGAAGAGAAAATAAAATATTTTGATTGTGTCTGTGGGCTTGACAATTATCTACAACACTTGGTTTAATTCTTACAACAACCTGGATGGTAGGATTTATTAATTCCATTTTATTTGTGAAGAAATTGAGACTCAGAGATTAAGAAATTTACATGAGGTCACACAACTAGGGAATAAATGGTGGAGTATTAATTCAAGCATAAGGCAAACTCCAGTGCCTATACTCTTCCTCCTATAGAACTTAGCCCAGGAGGCATTGAACTTGGAGTGAACTGAGGACAAAGAATGGATCAGTAACTATTTTGGGGGAAACCTACCATGTGCCAGGGAAAGGAATAGAGAACTGCAACCATAGGATTAGTGTCGAAGCTTATAGAAGACTGAGCTCCCTAGAGCTGATTAGGTTCTCTCTCTAGATTAAAGCAGCCATGCTGATTCCCAAGGTTCTGGGCCAAAACCTGGTGTCTTCTGGGACCCCACTGTCCCCTCTTTCTCTTCCTCTCCTGCTCAGATCTGGAGTACATAAACTGCCTGCCTGCTACTCCCATGCTCTGGACTTAGCCTTCAAGCCCTCCAGGTTAGCAGCCTGACAACAGCTTTCAGAATCCTGGAATTTGCAGAGGCTTAGATGGCTTTTTCAGAGAAATGGCAATTGCAGGTTGTGAGAGATTGAGCTCAGATCTGCCTTCTGGTTATGAAAAAGATGTGCTCTTTATGCTTCCTCAGTGGCTTCTGGGAGCCCCAATCATGAACCTGTTCCGTGAAGGTCTCCCACCTTTTTAAGTGCTCTGTTCTGAGCAAACCATTAAATTGGAAGATTGCTCCCCTGAGGGATCAGAGGAAATGGAAAATGCAAAACTCAGTTGTAGTTCCCAGGAGCTGCTGACGATCTGAGTACCTTTAGAAGCTTTCTCTGACCTATAATGGTGATATTCTGTCTACACACACTATCTAATGGACTTAATAATAAGAATGTTCTGGCCCCTTTGGTGAGTGTCAGCCAGCCCAGACTATCTGCATGCAAGGTGCATCGCAGCTGTGGGGACATCTCTACACCAGCAGTTTGCAAACTTTGGCACATTTCAGAATCACCTGATAGGATTGTCAACATGCAGATGGCTGGACCCATCCCCTGATAGTCCAATTCAGAGTCTGGTGTGGGGCCTGAATTTCGCATTTTTAATAAGTACCCAGAAGAGACTGAAGTTGCTGGTTTGTAGACCACACCTTTGGAACCACTGGTTTACACTTTCTTCAATACCTTTTCTTAGAGATTGTTTGGTCAGGTGGCCCTGAATCTTTATGCACACACACAGGTATGCACAATGATCCCAAATGTGGGATTCCTCTTCTCGCCTCAGACCCACTAAATGGAGAAAATCCATGTTGACTCTCAAAGTGGGAATATTGTGAAAGCAATAGATTAGTTCTGTTATTGAGCAGAAGGTTAGTTGTATATAACCCCCCCTGTGGTTTTCTGTGGTACCACCACACACGCAGTGCCTAAGTGATGGGTGAGTTGTTAACAACTATGTTTGTTTTATTGTTGTTACCATGCCATAATTAAGGTTTTCTAAAGTACTCAAAGTCTTTGCAAAGGTTCTTGGTGAACTACTTAATTCCCTTCTAGAAAATTATAAAAATAAGACAGTATATCTTATAAAATTATTTGAGTGAGCAAAAACCTGAGATGTTTTAGAATTCTATCCCTTCAGGAATCCAACTTGTCATCTCAAATTTATTTTGTGAGCATTTTAGCCAGTGCATCAAAATCCTGAGCAAACCTATCAAATTTTCTATTCTGAATATGGATAAATTTAATGATAAAGCTTTGTGTAGTGGGAAAAGAAGACTGAATTCCATTTTAATAGGCGATGAACAAAATTGTATTGTAAATATATTGCAGTTCCCCATTTGGGCTGTCAGAGCTAATCATAATAAAATCATCTACTTTTTACATTTTGGTTTCTATACATTTGTGCCAGAAGGCAAAATGCAGATAACATCCATTCTGGAATCACCATTCATTTAGGTTTTTAACCAAAATTCCTTCCATTTGACATATTGTTTTACGTCGAACCATTAGCATCTTTTGTTTTTTTTTCTCCCCCTCATATCCTTAGGATTTCCATCGTCAGCCTCCTTCCTTCTCTTTAATTCTTGTTTTGCTGCTATTTGAAATGACTCAGTGGTCATTGTAAGGACCCTGCACAGATGGTTCAGATGCCAATACAGATGCTAATATTCTTAATCACACTGTACACAACAAAAATGACAGTAAATAGTTCTCTTTTCACTGAAAAATATCACCATGTGATTTTTATGTAACCTTGTCACTGTTGCATATCAGTGTTCCAGGTCCTGCGGAGGAGGAATTCAGGAGAGAGGAGTGACTTGTTCAGGAGGTGTCTGTGACTGGATGAAAAGGCCCACATCCACTGCACCCTGCAATAGACACCCTTGTTGTCGCTGGGCCACTGGGAACTGGAGCCTGGTAAGAGCCAGTTATAGTCTAGTCAGTTAATTTTAGTGTTAAAAAAAAAATAGCACGTGTTTTCTTTTGATTTCAAAAGTAATATATCTTCATTGTAAATGTGCGGTGTATTCTTGACTTAACAGTGTTTCTGTAGATTTTAATTCTAGTACTCTGCTGCCAGCTAATCTCAACTGAAAGTTGGCCCTTAGCTGACATGTGGTCAATGTTTACTATCTTGAGTCCAGAAGAGAAAAGACAAAATGCCAACATTATCCCAGGGGCACAAAACCTATGGAAAAGCAATTTGGGACCTCAATGCCTTAGATCCTCTGGCTTTTCCTAAAGCAAGTAGGAGCTGATATGCCCTGAGCTTGAGGCTCACCTGATTCCGTGAGTTTCAGATCTCTTTCAGATCAATTTGCCACATGGCCAGGATGTTTTATGGAAAGCCAACAAAGTAGCTAAGCTATGAATGAAGGAGATATTTATTTTCTCACAAAGTTTATTGCATAAATAACACTGTCAATAAAGGAAATTCTTCCAGAGATAGATTCTGTCATCACTCTGACTTGTCACATCCTAGATTCCGTAGAAAAAAGAGTATTGAGGCAAAATCTCATACTTTATTAAGAAATACAATGCCAGAGAAGCATCCGTGATAGAAAAGAGGAAGGAGATAGGGAAGGAGGGAACTCAAATACAAGGTGGTGCATTACCAGCCTGACCACTTTTCTAACTAGTCACTGCTTGGTGTCAGGAACAACTGATTGCTCACTCTCAAAGGCATTCTAAAAGCTGTATGAATTCCTGCCTCTTAGGGCAGTTTGTGCAGAGGGAAGAAGGAAGGAGATGAACCTGGCTCCTGATTTCCAGGACTGGGTAAAAAGTCTCCCCTCTGATGGCTAATACCCCTCATTGCCCTGGGTTATTCACATGTGGGCATCATCCCACGCATGTCATGTCTCATTGCAGCAAGGAAGCCCAGAGTCAGGAGATAAGAGGTACCCGGCATAGGTGGAGGTACAGGCCAACGGGTTGTGCTCGCATGAAGCTGGTTACCACCGTAGCTGGGGCAGATCAAAGGCCAACAACTGGGAGGCAGGGGGAGCCACAAGTATCAGATACAACAACCTCTCAACTATTAATATTTTTTAAAGTAACCTGTTCTTGTGTAATTATATTTTGATGGTTATAATTACGGCACAGGCCAATACAGTATTTTGCCAAACATAATGGCTGTAGATGTCTTTAGGTTGCTATTTTCTTGGTAATTATCTTTGTTCATAGCTATGTAGTTGCACCTGCACAGCTATAATCAGTTCAAATGCTGGCAGGTACTCTTACAAAAGGTTCCTGCTATGCATCCAACTCAAGGTTTTGTTGGTCTCTGGACACCACTCCACTTTAATCCAGGAAGAACAAGATGACTCATTAGTGCTAAAAGAACATTGTGCATTAATCAATTAGCTTGCAACAAATAAAAAATACATATTTTATTATTTTCATAGCTAAAAAATACGCCCAGTAGACAAAGAAAAATGATGTCAACCATTTCTTTAGATAGGACCCATAGTATTTTCTGTGAAAGTTTTCATTGACATCTAATGCTGATTTGTGATGAACTGCCAAAGGAGATTCTGGTGTCAGGGCAAGCTGCTGGTTATGCGCCCTGCTAGCTGTCTGCCAGGCCCAGTATCCAGCTCTCACCATGCCCACCAAGGGTCACGTGGACAACAGAAACTATCATGTGTAGTTTTATTACTTTTCATGGAAATGTAATTTAATCACTTTACATTTGGGCATCTTACAATATCTTCCTTGGAAACTGACTTTATTTCCCATTTATTAGAAATTCCATTATTCCAAAACCAATTTTCTCCATCTTTACTTACACAACTTGAAAAGGTTATACCCAACAAATAAAGATGTGTTTGAGGATTAGTCTCCTCATAAATATCCTGGAGCTGTGCATAACAGTGTAAGTATCACTAACAAAATTAAATGTGACCATCAGAAGAGAAAATCTGATCACGTGTGAACTCTCATGAAAATGTTGTAAATTTAGGCCCATTTGAGGAGAAAGACAAGTACCAAATGATTTTTTTTATTTGTGCAGTATAACAGTAAAGCAAAACTGAAAGAACAAAACAGCAGCAGACTCACAGACTCCAAGAAGGGACTAGTGGTTACCAAAGGGGAGGGGTGGGGGAAGGTGGGTGAGGAGGGAGGGAGAAGGGGATTGAGGGGTACTATGATTGGCACACATGGTGTGGGGGGGATCATAGGGAAGACAGTGTAGCACAGAGAAGACAAGTAGTGACTGGCATCTTGCTACACTGATGAACAGGGACTGCAGTGGGGTTTGGGAGGGGACTTGATAATATGGGTGAATGTAGTAACCACAATGTTTTTCATGTGAAACCTTCATAAGAGCATATATCAATGATACCAGAATAAAAAAAAATTGGGGCCCATTTGGGAACACAGAATCCCATAAATTATCAATTAAAGATGAACATTTTTAAGTCTGTCAATTCCCTGAGGTTCTAGTCCTTATCATTCAATGTAAAGGAAAACTGGACAATGCAGTTTTCTTTCTGGCAAGAATAATAGCCCAGTAAATGTCATAATAGTGAAGTATACTGAGCTCTTAGGGAACTCACTGAGAAGAGGAAATTGTCGAAAACATCCCCATTGGCCTGGAAGTATGCAGTCTATTTCTCATTTCAACCCTAAGGTAGCGCTGAGGTTGTAAATCGTGAGGTTTTGTATGGTTGTTGCTCTCCAGCCAGATTCCCAGCACCTTTCTTCAGTTATGGTCATCTGTATAGAGTCAGAACAGAAAGCATTCAAATCAGTGAGAAGCCTAAAATACATACACTATCTGACCTAGCAATTCTACCTATAATGAAATTGCTTTCAGGTTTAATCACAGAAGTCTCTGACTTTATAAAACAGACATGAGGTTCCAGGCTGATCATCATGCTCTAAGCTTTATGAAAACTAGAACAAATAAAGTAGTGGATGTTAAGAAAAATGTGATGTTTCTCCTCCTACCCCATATGGGAGTTTTGTGGAAAACAGGGTTTGGTAGTAGTATTTGGAGCTTATTAGTGGTATCCCACTGTTGGTATTTTTTAATCTTCTGAACTGGGTGACCAATAACACTTCAAATGGAAAATGGAATCTTTTGTGCCTAGTGATTTTTCCAGAATTTGCCACTGCAGCTATCTTCTTCAGCCAATCGATGGGTATGTATTGAATGTCAGGCTGTGTTTAGCATTCATCTAATTGCTATGCAGGATGAAGAAAGAGAAACTGGTTTCTTCCCTCTGAAAGATTTTGATTATATAAGAAACATATGTAAGAAAAGTAATAAAACATGAAATAGAATGTAAATCATGAGTACTGTGGTTTACAATGGTCAAAAGGTGGAAGCAATCCAAGTGGCCATCCATGGATGAATAGATAAACAAACTGTGGTGATCCATACAATAGAATCTTATTCTACATTTAAAAAGAAATTTTGGCACATTCTATAGCATGGAGGAAACTTGAAGGCATTTTGCAAATTGAAAAAAGTCACAAAAAGACAAGTATATGATTCCATTTATATGAGGTACTATAACAAATTCATAGGGACGAAAAATAGAATGGTGCATGCCAGGGACAGGGGTTGGGAATGGGAGATGGGGAGTTTATTTAATGAGTACATAGTTTCAGTTTGGGAAAATGAGAAAGTTCTAGAATTGGATGGTGGTAATGATTGTATAACAATGTGAATGTGCTTAAAGTTCTGGACAGTATACTTAAAAATGGTCAAAATAGTGAATTTAATGTTTTATAATTTTACAATAAAAATAACTTTTTAAAAGAGTATATATGGTTAATTCAGATATATTTTCTTATATTCCCAGGAATCATCTTATATAAGCTACTTTCACAGGCCAGAGAATCTCCCTTCTGCTTCCCAGCAGCCATACAATGACAGGAACAGTACAGTTTCGCCTGCTAGAATGGCTTGAGACCACACACGGCCGGCTCGATTCTCTGTCCTTCCCACCATGGTCTTCCTCTCCTGCTTTCTGTCCTACCTTTCACTTCCCTGGCAACTCTGTCCTCTTTCCTCACATCTGATTTCCAACCCCAAATCAAAACTAGTTCAGAGAAACTAGATTTCCTGTGGCACCAGGGCCCAGGTATGAAATTTTTTTCTATTTTGCTTGCAATCCAACCTCTGTCCACAGTAGTCAATTAAGCCAAGTTCAGTGGACACAATCCATAATCTAGACTCTTCTGAAATTCACTTCTCCAAATTATTAGCACCTTTATTATCTGAGTCCTTCAAAAAGATTTCTGATAACAGACTTTCCCCTATAGGAACGGCCCTGGGTATCCTGCGGGAGAATTCTGACTCTGCTCCCTCTCTCCTTCAGTGTACTGCTTCCTGCGGAGGGGGCTTTCAGAAGAGGACTGTCCATTGTGTCTCCTCAGAGGACAATAAAACTGAAGACCAAGACCGATGCCTGTGTGATCAGGAACCCAGACCTCAGGAATTCCTAAAATGCAACCATCGGGCCTGCAGGAAGAGTGCTGGTAGGTGGATGGCTTTGCTCAGTGGTGGAGAGCTTTTCATAAATTGCTTGTCCTGAATGACTTGACTAGTGAATAGCTTTAGTTCCTTTACTGAGCCAGAAACCTAAATGCTGAAGAGGCCAGCCCACTCCCCAGGGTACAGGCTGTCTGGTGAGGTTTGCATCGAATTTCTGCAGAGATTGTCGCATCCATTTTCCTGTCTCAAGCACATTCACACTGACGTCACAACATACAGATGACAATCACTTCCGTTTTTTCAAAGATTTCTGAGAGATGCTCCAGCTTTCTCAGGAACCCAGTCAAGTAGTGACTGGCCCTCTTTACCAAGGGCCCTCTTTACTGTCTTGGGTCAGGTTCTCCAGAAACAGACTCTAAGGTACAAATTTGTGTGCAAGGCCTTCATTAAGGAAGTGCTCCCAAGGAAGACCTTCCAGAGAGTAGGGGAAGCAGGGCAGAAAAGGGAGGAGCCGGCCAGGTGCCATGTCACATACATGCCTAACTTCAGCTGGTTCCACAGGAGAGCTCCTGGGTGTAAACTGTCTCAGAGTTGTCTACTCCTGAGGCCGGTGAGCTGGACATTCACACTACCACATTCTGCAGCCACTGGCCAGGGCTACTCCAGGGGAAGTGAATCCGCAGGTGTATATGGCTCTTTACATGGAGAAGCAAAGCAGCTCCAGTAGGATGTGGGCAGTGCTCTGAAAGAGTCAGGGCCTCTGGGTGTTCAAGGCTAAAGAACAGGTGTGCTGGGACTTGGTGGGGGAGGAGGGGTGATACATGAAAACGGGTCAAAAATTTGTTGGGGAGGAATTCAGTTCAGATATGCAGGGAAATCAGAGTACATGGTGAGGAAGGAATTCATCAAAGCGAAGAGTAGCAAGGAATGGCAGCTGCCTTGCTGGCAGCAGAGAGTAAAGAAGAACAAGTAAAGAGAATTAAGGGAAGTTCATTGAACTCCTGCCTGGCATATGGCACGTCCCCTGCCAATTCCTAAAGCGAGTGTCCCCTGGCATCCAGTGTCCTCGTGGATCTGCATGGCATGGGAATTAAGTTCCTACCACCCCAGGATTTGAGGAAGCTACAGAGCACTGGATGGAGTGAGATCATGTTCTGAGATCTCCTCAAAACAAAGAAAGGAGATTTTCAGACAAAAGTGTGGTGGCACGGCTGCAGTCCTGTCTGGGTCACCCAGGCAACAGGAACTTGTAAGCCCAAATCAAAGATCTCATTAGCCCCTCCCTACTTGTGTGAAGTAGGACAGAGACAGAGTGAAGACTTGTGCTTCAGCCTGGAAGACAGAATGAAACAGGAATGTGACAAAGACACTTACCACTAGAAGAGCGCAGAGACACAATGTAATAACTTGAGCAGTGAGAAGTTTACTTAAGGCAAAAAGGTGCACACTTGAAGAAAGGGGGTGCAGGCAACCTCAGAGAGGAGGCACACTTAAAAGCTGAGATTCTGTCTTTCAAGGCTTTCAAGAATGGGATAAAGGTAAAGGGTCAGAGCCAGGGGTGGGGAGTTGGGGGTTGTAGGCTTGTTATGTGGTCTTGTGATTTCCCTCTCCAGTGAGAGACACTGTGTCATTGCTCTTAATCAATCCTCCAGAGAGTTCTATAGGATAAACTTAACACAAGGAATTTATTGGTCCTGTTCCTCTCCAAGATAATGGTTACACCCAAGCACTGGGAACTTATCAGTTAAGACTGTTTGGCCTTGCCTTAAGATAGGTTGTTGGCTGATTACCAAAGAATATGTTAGGAATCTAACTTTCCAATTCTCTACTTTTAAAATGGAATCTTAGCCTTAAGATAAGTCCCTCCTGTTCTTACTATGCTATTCACATATTGGCATTTTTAAGAAAATTAATCATGGTGTTTGTCCCACATCTCTACCCTATCTCACCTGCACTAGCTAGATCAAGTCTCAAAGGCAGCCCAGGTTCAGAGCATGTGGAATGAACTCACATTGCAAAGGGCATTAAATCTGTGAGTGCCTTCCGGTTCTCTGGTTTTATCTGGCTAACTCTTCGAGTCCCATTTAGTGGACTTTACTGGTCTTATTCTCCCTCCACCCAATGCTCATATCTGTTTTCCTGCCTAACAAATCCAAGGAAGGAGATCTGAACAGTGAACTATCACTGTTGTTGGCTACATTCAACTTAAACTTTGAAAAAGCAACCCTATTTGAATGCTATATGGTCACCTTGTCATTTTAAGTATGTTAAATTGCAGCCTGGAGATTAAGTGGCCTGTTTGTGATTGCATGGTGGGGTGATATCAGAGCTAGAACACCAAGCCAGGTCTCCTTCTCACTCCACATGCCTCACTTCCCCAAATGTGGAAAGAATAATGTAGCTTTGGACTCAGACAGCAGTAAGGTTTGCATCCCATAGCAGCCTCTTTCCATTTATGTGATCTTGACAAGTTATTTGACTCTCTGAGCCCCTGTTTCCTTGAGCCCCAGTTCTCTTTTGCATATAAAGAGAATAATAACACAAGCCTTACAAGTTGTCATGAATATTTTAAATAGCATCTATTAAGAGCACATGAAAAAGAAAAAACTCCATCACAAACCAGCTCTTACCTCCAATGGTCAAGTTACTTCTTCTCAATAGTCTGGTTTCCTTATCCACAAATAAGAGGCTTCTACCATGAGCTCTATGTCCATTCCACTGATATTTGGAGTTTCACTGACATGGAAGATTTCTACATTAAATAAAAAACAGATACAAAGGTTTCAGGCAGGAAGCAAGGATTTTTTTTTTGATAGTTTGCTTACATGAGTTACAAAGTGGAGAATACCTCCTATACAGTAGGACAGAAATTCAATCAGAATGACTTTACCCCTAATTAAAGAACTATTAGACAACAGTTAAGGGTCATCCTGCTCTTGAAAAAGCACCATGATGGTCATACACAATGGAAGTCTTTCTCTAAGATGAGAGGTAGTAAAACCTGTGGTCTGTCAATCTGCTCTTTGCCCCCTTCCAATGCTGAGGGTTGGCATTCAGCAGAGACTGCCTTTACACCTAACATCCTGAGAAGATTTTCCCTAAGGTTTTTTTTTAATCATGCATTTAATCAACAAATATTTGTCGGAGACTTAATACATGCTAAACATAAAGTGAAACAAGGAAGTACAAACCAGTGACAGACACTGATAAGGGAGGTAAGGAGTTCTGAACGTACCTGGGAAGGGCATCCAACGTAAACTGGGAAGGCCTCCAGAGGAAATGAAGGGTGAGTAGAGAGGTCAGATGAGACATTTCAGGAGAAGCTTTCAGTTTCCACAATAACCAGGAAGAATATGATATCATGGCACATAAGTCTAACTCAAGTACAAAATTCAAGGGGAGTTAGGAAACGGCTGGAGAGGTAAGCTGGAGCTAGGGGGTAAAGAGCCTTGTGAAGCATGCTGATGAGTTTGGACTTGAGGGCAGAAGGGAATCATTGAAGTATTCCACATGGGGTAAGGAAGATAAAGTCATGCTACTTTAGTGTAGAAGATAGAGAAGGAGGACCAGTTAGTGAGACAGGGACCCTGGATATAGTCAGAGTAGGGTGAGGGCCTCCGGAGGGGGCAGGGCAGGGTATCTGCAGTCAGAGCAATGTAACTACATGCAAAGAAACCCCCCTGCTAAAACTCTATGTTAAACATTGAGCTCTAGAATCATTCTTCAGTGAGATCAGTTAATGTTCCCCAGATAAAGAAGAGTAGCACATGTTTTATTATGCTAATCATTTGTAACCATGTGCAGGATTCACTTTAGCATGCAAAAAGGCCCAGGCCTATATGCTGTCTTTCCTCCTTCAGCTCTGACAAGGTTATTTTGCAAACTGAGCAACTAACTAAGCATGCAGACCCAGCTGTAGACGGCATGAGACGGCATGGTAAAAGGCAGGAAGAATTCAGTTTTAAAGATAAGATTGGATTTTAACACCCAGGAAGTTCAAGAGGCAAGATTCTTTAGCAAGTAGACAATACCTCAGCCCACCTTGGGGGCTGGGCAGCAGCCTTTTGATATGCTCCCAGACCAAGGCGCTGGTGCTCCCTGGAGAGAAATCAAGGCAGGAAATTCCTTATGTTAAGTTAATTTTTAATATTCAGGAATCACTTAAGTCCACACCCCTAAGTATTTTCATTTTCTCTAAAAATCCTCAACTGACTATAAAACCCCCTAGACAACGCACCAACGATGGGCTCTCTTGTCCCCTCCTGACATGAGCCAGGAGCTCTATTCTCTCACTTTATTTCTAAATAAAAGCCTGTACCTTGCTCTCCTACCTTGACTGTTTGTGAAGCTCATTCTTCGGCTCCGCAAACAAGAACCCCGGCATCATTAGGAGATTGCAAATGTCCCCTAAGCAAGAGGTGCATATGGCATGAACTAGGGCAATAGAAGTGGAGAGAGTGAGAAGTAAGTGGATTCAAGAGCACTTAAAAGAGATCCTTGACAGGCCATTAGGCCTGGGGAAAGAAGAGGGAGGGTACAGCCCAGATTTCCAGCCAGCCCAGTGGAGTAGATGAGGCTACCATTCACTGAGAGAGGAAGCTCTGGAGTGGGTTTGGGAATGGTGAAACATGAGTTCTGTTTGGAACATGTTTGTTGAGGGGCCTATGAATTGCTTAGTCATGAGTGTCTGCTGATTGGTTTTCTATACAGGTGTGAAGGCCAAGAGGGAGATCTGGGTGGGAAATCCTGAAAGCAATGCACTGGGGTGGAAAGGCTTCAGTTATGATTATCATGTGCAACTTTTTTCTGAACACTCTGCATTTGAGGGTGGCTGTCTTTAACCTTACTTGAAACTCCAAAAGCAGCTACCTCCGGCTCATTCTTACAGGTGTTATCAACTTTTAGTCTTCCAGACTTCTGCTCTTCAAACTTTGGTCCCTGGATCAACTGTGTTGGCAATACTTGGGAGCTTATTAGAAATGCAGGATTTCAGGCCCCACCCCAGACCTACTCAGAATATGCATTTCAGTAAGATCCCCAGTTGATCTGCATGCACATTAGAGTTTAACACCCTGTTCTAGATCAAGGAACCAATCTGAGACCCTCTTCCTTTCATCCCCAGCTATGGTACAATGTTTTTTAAATGCTGAGGTTACACAATCCCTTCTATGTTATGTTGTTTTTATATAATTGAAGCAGCAGCCTAGTCTCAGTTGACCATGTTAGAAGGAAAAATTTTCCTCTGCCCTTCAAGGTTCTTGTGCGTAAAACTGTAATATTTCCAGAATATCTTTATATTCTGGCTTTAGTGCATCTGCATATCAACAGGCAGTCCTCAGGAGTGGAGAAGAGTTCATCTTCATATCAATGCATAATTACCTGAGAGGCTGGGGGAGTGCTGGCTTGCTTTTGCCGGAGCAGGAAAGAAAAACAGCCCCCAACTGCAGTTTGTAAGCAATAAATGGGTTTTAAACTTTATTTCTCCCTTTGAATGATTTTGGTTTTAGAGTTATTTTGCCCCAGGATTTCCTTTCCCCAGAGTTACAGTTCTTCTAGCTGGTCTCAGAATCAAACTGACAGATTAGAAAATGAGACAGATTAACAAGAGAAAAAAAAACAAAGTTTAATTATAAATGTATGGGGACCCCATAGACATCAGCTTTCAAAGACAGGCAAAATGAGGCATATATGTCATCCTGAAATAAGAAGTAGGTAGATGTCTGGGAATTCAGCAGGAAGGAAGGGATTAACAGAAATATGAAAGAGTAAATGTTTAGTAAACAAATGTTTGCTGGGCCAGTGAGACAGGAATTTTAACTTATTAAATTCCTCCCTGTCTACCACAACTAGTTCATATTATAATATAGTTATCTATGGTGATAGCTCTCTTCCTGATAGCAGGTCTTCTATCTAAATTCTTTTTTTGCAGTTAGGCTGCGAGGTCAAAGTTTCTTTTGAGTCTTTCAAACTTTTTGAGGCTTGATTGTTTTTAGCTCTGACATAATCTGCATATCAAAGTGGTACATCTTGGGGCAACCTGCCCTTGGCCCCTAAGGTCCCTCCTCTGAAACTTCCCTGGAAGTTTCATACATTAAAAGTTGAGCTGGTAAATTGTTCTGTCTTGTCAAACTGGCTTCTTAGTCCTGACAATAGGAAAGCACAGTTAAACTTTCTCCAGGGGGTAGTGATGCAGCATGTTCTCAAAGTCAGGCCTATGGCTCAGTTAATCACATATTAAATAATAGGCATTTCTATAGAAATGAAAGAAAAACAAAGGATAATGGTTGGACCAAATTATAAAACAAGTGCCTGAGTCGTGAGTGCTGCCTGTGAGAAGATGTGTAGGTGTCAGGCTCAAAGAATCTTTAGACAGAATAAGTGCAGGCAGTAGGCAATCTGACAGATTTTCTTGGTTTGTAGTTCAAATGCCTCTGATGGTCCTGGAATGTCCCACACAGCAACAGGCACGAAGACTGTCTAAACATGGGCTGGTGTGATTTCTCAGAAATTTTTGCAAGTTGTCTAACTTCAGTTGTTAGGGGTTCAGAAAAAAGGGCAGTTTTGTTTCTCTATTATTCCAAGTCAGAAGGGTGGGAGGAAAATTGAAAGTATTAGTTTGGAGAGCTGTGGCCAGACATTAGAGGTGTTAGAAATTATATTCCAACAAATTGGACAACTTAGAAGAAATTTATAAACTCCTAGAAACATACAATATTCTCAGACTGCCCCAGGAAGAAACAGAAAATCTGAACATACCAATTACTAGTATTGAAATTGAAGCAGTCATCAAAAAACTCTGGACAAACAGAAGTATAGGTCTACATGGCTTTATGGGTGAATTCTATGACACTTAAAGAAGGACTAAAATCTATCCTTCTTAAAATATTCCAAAAAAAAAAGGTGGGGGAGGGAATACTTCCAAATTCATTTTGTGAGGCCAGCATCACTCTAATACCAAAACAAAGACAATCAAATACAAAAAAATGAAATAATAGACCAATATCCCTGATGAACATAGATGCAAAAATCCCCAACAAAATAGCAGCAAACCAAATTCAAAATTACATCAAAAGGATCATTCATCATGAGATGGTGGGATTTATTCCAGGAATGCAAGGATGGTACAATACCCACAAATAATGTAATACACCACATTAACAAAAGGAAGGATAAAAACCATAGGATATTCTCAATACATGCTGAAAAAGCATTTGGCAAAATTCAGCATCCATTTACAATAAAAACTCTCCACAAAGTGTGTATAGAGGTAACATACTTCAATATAATAAAGGTCATCTATGACAAACCCACAGTTAATATCATAATCAATGGTGAAAAGCTGAAATCTTTTCCTCTAAGATCAGAAACAAGACAAGGATGACCAATCTCACCACTTTTATTTAACATAGTACTGAAAGTCCAAGCCACAGCAATCAGGCAAGGAAAAGAAAAGGCATCCAAATTGGTAAGGAAGACGTAAAGCTGTCACTTTGTACAGGTGACATGATGCTTTACATAGAAAACCCTAAAGACTCCACCAAAAAAAAAAAACCCTATTAGAACTAAATTCAGTAAAGTTACAAGATACAAAATTAATATACAGAAAGAAATTGTCATTCCCAAAATTGCATCATAAAGAATAAAATACCTAGGAAAAATCTAACCATGGAGCTGAAAAAACCATACTCTTAAAACTACAAGACTGATGAAAAAAAAGTGAAGATGATGCAAATAAATGGGAAGTAGATTAAC